CAGCGCCGCCTGGTGACGGGCACTGGACATCACAAGTTCTGCTCCTCCAGTGATCCAACAGCGCCACCTGGTGACTACAATAGGACACTACAAGTTCTGCACCTTCAGTAGCCCAACAGCGCCACCTGGTGAACGGTACAGGACATTACAAATTTTGCATCTCCAGTGACCCGACGGCACCCCCTGCTGACTGTGGCTGGAACTGCACCAAAGGGTGCTAAAAATTGAACTATTTAAATTTTCCTTTTGCCGGTTCATCGGTTTTGTTCTTGAAGGGGATTATTGGTGGGTATAGTGATATTGCTTGGTTGTTTTACTTAGGTTTTTTTCGTGTTCCTGTTAATACACACATACCTTTTAATAAAGGGCTGTTATTTTTTTGTTTTCCCTTTTCCATAACTTGTTTTCCTTCAATCGGAGCCTCTTAATTTCGGATTTATAATTGCTTAGAAAAAGAAGTTTGGGTCTTTTCCTCCTAATTCATCCTCAGCAAAAGACCCTTGTCCCATTTAAACTAGGACACCTCTCTAACATACTCATTCTCAACAAGAGCACTTAGCACCAAAGCTGGAAAGCAGGAGGCTCTTTTTGATACAGTTGTTTTCTGAGCCATGCCCAATTTGCCCTAAATGAGCATCAAAGAGCAGCCAAAGAGGCAACAATCCTAACATGAAGCTTTGTGAAATGTGCTATCTAGTATTTATGTCATGTTATGTATAAACTACACTTCTACATTAACATAAAGAAAAAACCCTTATTGTTCTACTGCTGGAAATCATCCCACAACAGCATTTCCAAGCAGCTCCAACTTGCCAGTATATAATGAAATCAAGGTAATGCTAATTATAGGATGATGACACGTGATCTCTCACTGGTACAGACAGTTTTCATATTAAAAAAAAAAAAATTAAACTACAAGTCACCTCACTCTAACTTCTGTGTTTGCATCTAACTTGTATTTGCAAAAACATGAGGAAAGTTAATGACAAGCATCTCATAAATAACAAATTCAGTATTTCATTCATGCCTGCTTAGCTCCCTGCTAAGCCACTTTCTGGCTATCTAGTCCCATGTTACTATGCATTTTCAAGAGGAGAAATTTCACAGAATCTATGAAGACATTACAAAACATATCAAACAAACACTTTTATTCAAACACAGGAAAGAGATGTAATAGGACTAAAATTCATTTTAGTTTGCATCCTCCCTTCTATTACCAAATTATTTTCTCACTAAGGAAAAATGTGAAACACACCATTTCTTATATATGATTTGCTCTTGCCCAAAGTATGAAAATAAGTTTTAATAGTATTTCTACAGTTATGTTCACACTTGCTTACACATCATTCTACTTGAATTTTCTTACCAGTTTCCAATTATTTCATTCAAAATTTATTCCCTCCAAAAATTTCATGCTAAATGTCACATTCTTCCTATAACTGATGACAAAATTTTTATAAGCATGTTAAGAGCTACTGTAAGAAGCAGTGGTTCGAATAATCATATGCAAGTTTCTAAGCACTGCCATTAAGGTATTCTGTTGTGACTAAAGGAAAAAAAACAAAACAAAACAAACAAAAATAGACCCACAACCAAATACCTACTAGATGCCAAACTATAAGATTACATGAATGAGTATTTACAAACATGTATGTCAACAGTAACATCTCAAGCAATCAGGAGTACTTGTTAGCTATAATTACCTAAAGCTACTGACTTAAAAACCATGAACAATATAAGGTTCTGCTAATTATCTTTGGAGGAAAGTTCTGGACTAGCATCTCAGGAATATTTGTCACAACAGGTCAAACGGAAGTGAGCTGTTGATATAAAGGAACAGAATTGTAACTGTTGATAGAAATACCTCTTGAACGTGTAAGTATGGACTTCTTTTCTTTTTCCCATATAAAATCTCACTGGGACTTAATTAAACCCACTGTATTTATTTTATGGCCTTCAATAATCCAAATATTCATAAATTGTGTTCTAAATTTAATTTTATATTTCTTCCCAGAACAAAATAATGAGGAGATATGTTTATGTACATAGTATTGTCTTTACAGTGTCATTTATCATACAGCCTTAAAATCCAATGTATTGTATTGACAGAACTAATAGAATTGTTATGCTTACAATGCATTTATTGTGCTATTTTCCTCTAAAAATAAGATCAACTGTATTCTTACATTTTCTGTTGCAAATGCATCAATACTTTAAATCAATGTATTTGGATTATAAAATACCATGCATGTAGAAGACTAATGTTGTCTGAAGCTCCTAAGGCAGCCATTAAAGGCTGAAGTATATATCAAAGCTTTACAAGCCATCACATTATTAAGTCACCACATGTAAGCTCTGAAAACTAATTATCACTTAACTATATTCTTAAACTCATCTAATTTAAATTCTGGGATACAGTTACCCTTTTACTTTGACACCATTCCAAAGTCACTTAACTCTTACTGCTTCCTCAAGAAAAATGCTACGTCAAATCAAAACTGATTTGACAACTATATAGAGAAGAACAGTTGTTCTCCATATCTACTAATACTGGTTTTGAAGAAACTATCTGAATGAATTATCTAACTACTATGGAAAAAGAATAGAAGTAACAGACATTTATTTATCCCTGCCTGATGCTTCCAGGCTAAATTAAAACCTCTATGACCATCAAACTTAATTATTACTGCATATTTACATGTCCGCACTACAGTTCCTTCTGAACGTCATGCTGTTCCAGGGCTGTCCTTAAATAATTGCACATTACCCAAATGAACATTCTTCCATCTTTTAATGATTCAGTATATCCAGGCTGCCCATTAACACTGTTAGTTGACTGACAGATCAAGGGATATGTACATACAGTATCCTGCTTAAATCTTAACCAGTATTTAGAAGGTTAAGACCTACTTCTTAATTATGACTTATTTAAGAAGTGTCATTCATTTACACCTAACAGAGGAATACACAGAAACTGAGTGATACAGCCTTCTTTATATTATCTACTGCTCACTGGTTTTGTCTTAAGAAAAAAAAAAGAAAACAACATAAAAACCCATCTATTTTTTTCTCTTCCTTCCTCTTTCTTCTTCTGCATTTACCAAATCTTTTCTTTCTCACTTGCTTCTCTGCTAGCTGCAATTCACTCTGCTTCCTGGATTTTCTGATTTTATTCACTTCATGTTCTAAAATGGAAATATTTCTATTTTTTTCCAATGTTTTTTTACTATCAGGTCTTCAGAGAAATAATTTTCTTTTTATTCTTATATCTCTCCTGCATCCTCTGCATACAAATCTGCATTTAACACAAACCAGTGCCACCATATTAACTAAAAGCATCTGTACCTTAAACAGAGGTGAAGAAATTACAGTATCCACTGTCACCACATTATCTTTTGTCCTTGATTTTAAAACTGGTGCCATCCAGAATTCTGTCTTAGTAACAAGTTAGGATTGTACCATTCACAGTCATTAAAATCCCCTAAAGGAAGAATTTTTCAGAGCAAGAGTAAAAAAAGAAGTAGTGCTTCTTATCAGTACAAAGAACTTGCACAGATACTTAAAAAGCAAAGAAGGGCAGTCACAGTCAAAGTACTGTGAAAACAGTTTATAGAAACAGCAGCATTAAATTGCCTTTGGAATTCGTTCCTGAAACAGGCAACCTTTTTCAAGAGCTAACATAAAGTACTGTTATGAACGTTTTGGAAACCATCCTCAAGTTGTCATTCACTCTCTCAAAGTGTCAGACTGAGATACAGCTTTCCTGGCCAAATGCTTCCTACTGGCAGCATGAAGCAGTTGCACATTTTGTTCTCAAGAAAGCCATAGAATGGCTGTGGAAAACTTTGACCCCATTTCTGAGAGTGAGAAAATTACCTACATTCAGACAGCCTGTGGGTAGAGAAGGATGACTGCTCAGCTTACCTCTTACAGGTTGACAGAGAAATAAGGAGGATTTTCATTTCAAAAAGGTATTATGAGAAGTAAGAAAATTGAGCATGCTCAGCAGCAGCACAAGATCTGGGCCTTGATTTCCTTTCAGATTTTGCTAAAGCCTGATGTCATCCACTTCTGGCAAACAAACCATGAGACACTGCACAAAGTTTTATTTTAAAATAATTCATGTGTGCAATACAGATTCTTGCATATAACTGAGAAGAAAAATCACCTGTGGAGAGCTACATCATCTCACCACGACATGTATCAAAAACCCTTTAACCTTTCTTTACTTGTTGTAACACTGGAAAACTCCTTGTACTCCAATTCACATCCCCTTCTACTCAGCTTGCTCTCTGAGACAGGTATCTAGCAGAGAGACACTTACTTAAACATTTGCAAACCATTTGCTGAATTAGAAAACCCACCTCTTCCAATTCAAGAGAAAGAACTGTGCTTAATCTTTTTTGTTCGTCAACAGTGCAGCAATGCCAAGTAAGGGGAAGGTAAAGCTGTTATGTATCAGACTCTGTAACCACATTTCAGTGTTTCATTGGTTGTAAATAACATGCATGAGTTCTCCAAGGACAAAATTGCTCCTTTGCTGCCAGCATTAGTTGTTTAATGATCGGAACAGCAGAAGCTGCCAATTATTGTAATCCATTTTAAAGTGTCATTTAAAGCCACATTTGTAATTTTGATACCTTAGTTATACATTTATAACTTAGCCAGAGAGCTGTAAGCATGTAACTTGTAGAGTCCAGGAACAGCTACTGATAATTATATACCAATTTCACCTACAGAAAAATACCATGTCTATTGAATGTTTACTGCCTACCACACAGCATCCTCTCTGCCACTAGTTACAAACTACTACAGGAGAGGGGCCTGAAATACCTTACACAAGACATGACACAGCCTCATTCAGCTGGACTTACCATGATTTCAAGGCATGTACACAAGCATATCAACAACTTTTTAGGAAAAGCCTGTTATGACGAGGTCAGTAACTGCTCTGATACAACCCTTATCGATGTTAGTCCTTCTCATTGCTTAAAACTTACCTGAAACAGCCAGCGTTTTGGCTTCAAGTAGAGCTGGTAGCTGAGTCTCAATATCACTCACTTTCCTCCTCAAAGTACTGCAGAGTTTCTGACTTGTGCAAACCTAAATTGAGGCAGACAGCCATGATACAGAATTCATTCATGTAAAAGTATAAGGCAGCTCAAATGGGGCTTCAAATGTTCTTGGTTTACAGACACGACATAACATCCTGCAGCAAGCTAAAAAAGCTTAATAAAAAGTGATGTCTTTACAGAAATACCCAAGATGAATCAAAATTTCCAGGTTTTGCTACACATTCTATTATAAAAATAGAGAAAAGTATTAGCATTAGCTCCTGCACGAGAGAGGACACGTTTCACTACTAGACACTGAGGGCTGCACACAGAAGAAAGGCCATTTTACAAATTCTGTACAATTTTAGTTTTAACAGTGATGCTTGGAGTGGAGCATAAAAAAACCAACATTTAGAGATTAAAGTGCCATAACACAATGTGCAGCAATTTTTACACAAAATATACCCTGCTCTGCATCTTCACTGGAAAAAAAGGTAGCATTATTTCTGCACAGGTAATAAATAAGGCTATACCAGCTTGATACTGTATTTTGTTTCACAGTCAGGAGACACAGATGACTGGGATTCAGGTTTCTGACTTGCCCTCTCCCTTTTTTTTTTTTTCTTTCATCTTTTTAACTGGAGGCCTCTCAGCAATCAATCAGAACTGGTATTAAAAACATGGAGAGAGACAGGAGAGAAAAAAACATAATGGAAGTTCAGCTGTTTCTGTACTTTACTTTTCAGTGTACATTGCCACCTCAGAAGGACTGTATGCAACATATGCAATTCATACAACTCTCACATATTCAAAACTGTTGGGGTTTACTCCATATTGCATCACTTGGGAAGGAAAGCAAAATAAACAATAGAAAAATCTTTCATTGAATTAAGGCAAAACACTTGTTCTGAAGGCAGATGTCAAATACTTGCTCCAAATTGTAGCTGACACTTAAGAAAACATTGGAACCAAGGGCAAAGCAATAGTCAAGATAGGCACAGGCCAGTTCTGAAAAGATGTGATGTGAAATGAAATCTCCAGAGAGAAGTTTCCCTGCCTTCCTTCACTTTTTTTTCCTCCTCGAAAACAAGTGCCATGCTTATTAACAGAAGCACATCTCTCACCTCACCTTTAAAGAGCAAAAGTGTTACAGTTCTAATGGATTATCTGCTTTTACAATTAAAGTATAGTATTTCAGATCTGACACTAACTGTAAATCCTTTTAAATTAATAATACCCTCTTAATTTAGCTGAGATTACCTCTTAATTATAAATGGGTCATATTTTTTTCTTGAGTCAATAAGAACTATCCTCCAAGCAGTAACTGTTACTATCTAAAGACTTCAGAGTCATCCTATTAATTTAAAAAGACATCTCTCATCACTTCTGCACCTACTACAATTTTTCAATTCCCAGATATCTCACTTTGTTTCAGTACCCCCTTCTAAGTGACTCACCAACTAATTCAGTTAAAGTATTTTTAAAACCCCAAACCTATCAGAGGTGAATAAATGTGCCCAAAGAACCCAAAGGCCATTTCTGTCTCCCATCTCCAAAATAAATCTGAAAGTTTTTAATGACTTCTTTCTAAGCAGTGCTCTCTCTTTAGGGGCACTGAATGGCTCAGTGAATTGCAATTAGATGGGGAATCTTTCAGCTCCAGGAAAACTGCATGAATATATCCCATGCTGGTAGTAACTTAAAGTCATTATGACTAGACAGCTGTTTGGCAATTATGCAAAATAAGCTGGGAGGTTTAATCAGTTTCTAGTGAACACTGTCCAGTTTGTAAGCATTACCATCAGAACAAAGCTTGCTGGTGTTCTTTATTAATGGACCAAAAGCAGGGACCAGAAGCTGAAAGGCAGCTTCTCCAACTCAGAGATGATTCTTCTGGAACGTGAACACATTGCCGAGCCTCTGCCTGTAGCTATGTCACATGTATTCCACAGATAAATGAACAACATTAATCTTCAGGCCTATCATATGGCATAGTTCAACAAAACTAAATGAGCAACTGGGAAAGGTAAAGTAATATTCCCTAAACTAATAGCCCTGCTCCTATGTTGCATTAGGTCTACCCTACAAGCTCCAATTCTTTTCATTTTTTCTAATTATTTTATCTTAATAACAGATACTATTATTCATTACAGTAGCTTATTCAGCCACTAAGGAAAGGTTATTTCTTCGCTAACAAAGATGGTGAACATTCACAATGCCAGTGTCCTTTGCTCCCAGGAATGCGCCATCCTCCTCTACCCAGTCTCACTGCAGGTGCCTGGAGCCACAGTGATGACCTTTCCCTGTTCTCAGTGACAAGCTCTGCTGTGTTCCACAGACCAACAAACTTCAAATCTGGAAAAACTCCCTTTCAGTTTCAGGGAAGTTTTTTACAGCCAAGTATATACTGTATCTATTTTAAAATCCTCTTCAACGATTTGTGAGGTTTTTTTAAAGCAGACTTAAAAAAAAAAAAAAAAGGCTTTTGTTTGGGAATATACCTTACAAATCTGTATTCAGACACAAACACTTCTCAAAGAAGCAGTCTATCTGAAACCAGTAGGAAGCTGGTTGGCAAAGATGTGTGGAATCAAAATGAAAAGCAGCAAAATATCAAAAGCAAATTAGCCCACTGTCATCCTCTTCCATCTTTCCAGCATATGATGTTAATATACAGCAGCAAAAACAGGGACAAGGACAGCAACTAAAGCACTGGAATTTACTCTTCCTCCAATCATCTCAAGAAAAAAAGAATTTTGAGTAACCTTCACATTTCTTTACAACAGCACCTTGGAAAAGATAAAGAAATTCCCTCAACACTGCCTGAAGGAAAGAACAGTCCACCTGGCTTCCCACACAGTATAATCTTGCCATTAAAGAAAGTAGATAATAATTTCTGAAGGAAGGTGGTGAAAAAGAGACATTGTTCCCTTCATTAGCAGGCAAAACTTAGCTTTTGCAGCCATGGCTGAAAACAACGCAGACGAGGAGAAAAGGCCATAGAAATGCCAGTGGCACAGAGGGAAAGAAAAGACCTTTGACAAATGAGTGTTTTCTTCCGTACAATAAAAAGGCTTAAAAGACCAGCTCTATTTATTTTGAGATGAAAATAAAATGATGAGATGATCTGAATAAACTACTGAGTAAATTATTTGGAGGAGTTTCATTACATGCTTCCTATTTATCTTTTCTAATAAATAAAAACCATCACACAGAAATAGAATGAAATTAAAATAATATTTTATCTATTGAAAATTTAAAAAAATAAGCAAGTTATGAAATTCTACCTTGCAGACTTCTCTATTGTTACCCAACGTCTCAGCTCTTACTGAAAAAGTCTCCAGATACTATGATTGTAAAATAAAACCTCAAGAGGCCCATTTTCTGGGGAGAAGGCAAATTCTGTGACTTCTGTTTTAGTTTGCAAATAGCTTGAAAGAACATATCACTTTGAGGTACTGAATGGCTCATTCATTTTAGTAGATGAGCCACAGGTCAGCTACAATAATTTCCTTGATACTTTATTCATAGTAATATAAAAAATACAGGAGGAAGCACCATGTTAAAATAGTCTACACTAATTTTCCCAATATGTGGGCATAAGCAAGGAAGAGAGAAAACAGGTCCAAAATAAAGCAGAAGAGAAGGAAGGAATGGTATTGAGATGTAGTCTTCAAAGATCTTTTTAACAGTGCATACTAAAAGCGTTGGTCAAGATGATTAGGAAGAACAGATCACAAAGGATAAAACTTTTACTGACTTAGGTGAGTGCTACTAGAGAAAGAACATGAAAAACAAGTTTATTTCAGAGTATAAATTCATTATGCTCAAAACTGAGAAATATTTTCCTCTCCATTTCATATAGATGAACTTACTTAGATGAATTAGCTAGAGTTAAGTGATCCTTTTTTTTTCTAGAACATTCATGGAGCAAAGATGCTCTGTGGCTCATTGAGCTACTCTGAAAGAAAAGAAAACTTTAGTATTCTCCTTCTTAAAAGGAGGCCAAGAGAAATAAGAAAATTAAAAGAAAAGTACTAACACTTCCAGTTAGAAACAAAAGTTATGATAATTATGCCATAGCACTTTTCTTTGTATTTTTAAAGGAATGTGAGAACGAGATTGCTAGCTAGATTATTAGTAAAAGGGCAGGGAAATGAGGTACTTAGTTAATGCTTTTCCCTTCACACAAATAAAGCCAGTTAGGTAAGAAAGTAAGAGGCTCACTATTAATAAAATGAAAACATTCAGCTATGACCAGAGCTCATTTTATTTCATGAAGCTAAGGAGTCTGTTCCTGAACCGAGACCTGAGCAAAAAGGATTGATCACTAGTAAAAAAAGCTGAGAAAGAAGAAATTACTCCATCTGCTTCCTTAAGTATTATAATCTCTGTGGCCCGTTCAAATGTAAAGCTGGGGAGGGCTTTTCAGTGTATGTTTGAAAATACTCATGTGCAAAGTCTATTTAGAAGGAATACTGCAAAACAACCTTTTTAAAACATGGGCGATTTATTAAGATGATCTGCTTCTGTAAATATCCTGAAGAACTGAAAACATGTACTTACTTTGGCAGTAGTTTCTTTAATGGACATGCTGAACAATCGTTCTTTTTCCTGAAGGCTAGAAGGGATTAAAATAAAATAAAGTTGACTTCTGCTCAACACAGGCTGCTATACAAGACATATTTTAATACAGAAATAAGGCTTTAAGATGACTCATACTAACACAATAGAGCCAATACCAAGAAAAAAACTACATCTAGTTTCAGTGCTGCTAGTGACTAACCAACACCACCTTTACAGTTATTTATGAGTATATGGATTTTACTTACCATCTGAGACATAATTATGATTATTTGTGTAATCATGTCTTAGAAGTCCCTGGCAGTGTCCAGGACAGGTGCTTTGCTAGACTGTCATCCAAACACCTAACACAAAGGCATTTCTGACACAAACAGTTTGCAGTTGACTATCCTCTTACAATCCAGTTTTCAACCCTACCAGGAAAAGTTCAACTACAGTCACCTGTTCTCAAGGTAATTATATGTGAAATACCACTACTCAGTTTCTTTAGATCCTTAAAATCTACCAAATATTTACCAAATGGATTCAACAGTGGGTTGAAATCCAAGCATCACACTCACACTTGAACAAAGTCAAGGTTTTCTTCCACATTTATAAATGAGTAGGTTTACTACTTTTATATTACCAAATCTAGTGCAAGTCTATGCCCTTGATTCCCGTAAATAAATTCATTATTTATATTTTTAACATAAAGTTCAGAAAATCCAAGTCAAATCATACATCAGGAGTTAGGATAGAGATTTTTTTGCAGCTTAATACTTCCCTCCCTCCTACTTAGGAGGCATCCAGCTTTATACAGTGTTCAATCACTTCATCACACACTATTTTCTGTCAGACACCTCAATTCTGTGTACACGACAGTCAGAACTCCCCATCAGCATCATTTCAATTTTTCCTTTTATCTGCAATATAAGAAACATACTTCTTTCACGACCTACTGTTACTGTTCTTCCCGAAGAAGAACTATTAAATTATTCCTGAGTTTTTCTTTAGTCCTCGACACTGAAACATCCAAACACTTCAGAAACATCACTGGGCTTATTTCAGTGATACTCTTGCATGATAAGGCGGTGTTGTATTCATTTTACAGGTGGAAGAAACACAACTCACTGTTATTCAGAAAGTACATTAAGACTGAGTGCCTGTTTTGACATGTAAGTGGTTTGTGCTGCCTGCCTCCTCTATACATTTCATTTTTCTTTTGAGAACGCACTCCTTCTTATTTTCCAAACACAGCATTTACTGAGCCCTGTTTCAAGAGTCAGCATTTATATGAGTCTGAATCTCAAAGCACCTGAAGTTGGACTCGCACTCAGTTGCTGATCACCTACAGAAAGGCTGGTTGGGCCATCTTGCCCAGCTGCACACAGGAGTGAAACAGCCTCAGAGGCAGAATTCACCATATCATTTAATCACATTAATGAGACAACTATTTGCAATGCTTTCCCTAATATTCTGCTTCATGGAGCGCACACCTTTTCGATCTACAGCCCAGCAAGGCCAGTCACATCATTACCACTCCAGCACGCAGGGGCCCCTCCAGCTCCAGATGAGGCAGCCCTCTCAGACAGGGCTCATGACAGTGTAAGTCAATGCCTGTGTAAGGTAGCAAACAGAAATGAAGCTGGCTAGCTATGTAAAAGAGGTTTAATGACATTTCCCACACAGCAGTCTCAAATTTCTCCCTTTTCTACAGCAATATATGTGCAAAACAGAAAGTATTACATGTGTAATGATGCCATTATCAGCTTCCTGCTTGCCTCTGGGCATGCCAGAGGGAATGAACTATTTAGCCACTTCCTTTCTCATGCTTTGGAGCTCCAAGTGACTTTTAGCATCCCCCACAATTGGCATCTGAGCTGGTCAGGTTATGTAAAAAAAGCTGAGCTTTGTGTACAGATGTCAAGGGGGAGCATCAAGGCTGCAGTGTGTAATTGAATGAATAATGGGTGACTGACCCAATTGTTCTGAAAATGCCTTATAAAATTCAACTCTAAAGACCCAGGCCATAATAAAATGTAAAGTGCAGTTATAGCCAGAAGAACAACAGTATACAGATGGCAACTCTAACAAATCTCTTCTGTGTGCTCTTCCCCTTATCTGTTTACTTTCCTCAAAGAAAGCCTCCCCAGCTTCACACAACGTTTCGCTGCTCTGCAGAACTCACACTGCTAATGGGAAGAGAGATCAATTTTTAACTTCCTTTGAAACAATACATACAAAACAGTGTTACAAAGTAAGTCTGCATTGCTAACAAAGATGCACACCCCCATACAGACTTTCAGGACCAGGTGCTGAGTGGGAAAAGACACCCTCTTTATACACAGATTTCTTTTCTATGAGTCTCTATCAACTCACTGAAAGGTAAATAAGGAATCAAATGCTGCCACTTCAATAATAGAAGAATTATAATTTAAAGAGAATTTTGCAGAACTATAATTTTAAGGGATTTTTTAAATTAAACTGACCTATATCAATCAAGGGTATCACTAGTAAGTAAGTAATTTGACCAAAACTACTGATAGCTGCATTAACCACAAACTTGAATCTAAAGAATCCTTTTGTTACAGTTAGAGCATTCACACAGACTCTTGCAAGTGTATTTGTGTTATTTATGGTATGAATTTCACAGTAGAATCTTTTTTCAAACCCTTGTTAGCCTTCAGAGCAATAGCATAGAAATCCCTTATCCCTTTTAGAGATTAGCCCAACATACAATGCACACATAGCAATCAAAACCATGTAAGAATCAGCCATGGTTACGAACTACAAACAGCTTTAAACTACATTTATTCCCAGGTTGTTTTCTTCTACCACAAAACACCACCACAGAGAAGCCCCTCACAAGCTTTCCAATTAGCTGACAAGCTAATGACCCGCAAGAGAAACCAGGCAGTCAATACTGATTCATTCTACCGACAAAGAGCTTTAACAGCCATGATCTGTTACATGTGACTTGAACCAGAAAGAGTATTTTCTTTTACAAGCACCCTGGAGCATCATATTTCATTTTAAGAGGGGTATTCTGTCTGCTTAAAAGCTGCTTTAGGTATTACTACAAGGGTAAATGGCTTTAGAAAGAGCTCCTTGGAATAACACTAAATTCTTGCCTTGGAAGACGTCCATAGTTTTGACTCATTGCTATTCTTCTCTGACAGAACAGCTAATCAAGAATTTGACATCTTGTCTTCACAATCTTAGCAAACCATTATAAGGACCATTTAGAGCTTACTTCTCAAATTCAATATAAGCTAACTCCATCACAGAGAAAGCAAAGTTCTTGACCCAGCTGATGGAAGGGCTAGAATAAGACAGAAATTCAATTAATGCAAATTTAACTGACTAAATATGTGGGAAAAGAAAGGATTTTAACACTTGCACAACCCACAGCAATCTATACATCATGTGCAATTTCTTCATTCATGCAGATGCCACGCAGGCCTTTCATTTAAATGACTTGCAGTGGACTTACACACTTTAGGATCTGTAATGAGGACAGAAGAAAAGGAACATAGGCTTGCTATACCCTAGGGTCTCACTGTATATATGTTAGACCAGAACAGGAAAACAGGAGTTGAGGAATGATGTAATTTCTGGATGATAAATGAAGTAATACTTTGACATAACATGGACTTCAGCTGGAGAGTTGCAGGAGGATATGGGAATGCTGCATGTTCAGGAGCTCAGGCTGACCCGGCATGTAACAAGAGATTATGGGAAAAATTTTAAGATCCAAACACCTCAGGCAAGCCAGTACCCTTTACTTACCTCATTTTACTGACCTTAAAAAAAAATAGCTCCTGATTATATTGAATTGTAGTAACACAGAACCTACCAAGACAATGATGTTGGTAATTGGGAATGGTGTGCAAGCTAAAAAAAGAAATCCAATTCAATGCAACAGGAGACAGAATAAGAGTAGGGAACAAGCTGTCTGGTTCATACATTCCTCACTCTATCACAGGCTTCCCCCATCACTGCAGAGGACATTAAATGTCATGATATAATGGATAATGTTTAAAGTGCCTTTTAAAGAACATTCCAAGAAGTTACGATTTGCAGGCAGGAATTACAGACAGTATGGAAGTGGCTTTGTTCAGAGGAAGGCTGACTAGCACAATACTGGGAAGAATGGCTTTCTACTAAAGGAAGGCATGTTTCTGAATGTTTCCTTCTACTTTTCTAGTTTACTTCCCTTTGCATACCATGTTATTATGTATTTATGTTTTGCTTCCGAAGAAAAAATTCAAAGAATGCAAACAGGCAAAAGGTAAGTCATGCTGTTCTACACATGCAAGATATAAAAATATACACACTGCTTAAACAGAAAGAGTTCCTATATAATAAAATATACATAATAGAGTAACAAAAAATGTAGTCAGAATGCAGTTTCCATATGTACGCAATAGAACATACCACACATGTGGCACCAGTGTAAAACAAATAAATCCTGTACCGAAAATTCTTATTTTTCATATAGAAATGAAGCTGCCATCTCTGATCCCTGCCTGAAGATCATGAAAGACAAGAGTCCTTTAACAGTAAATATTCTCCTTTACATTACCGTCACCTAAAAAATTACTATAGAACTTGTTGTTTTGCTTCCTATCTCCACACCACAATATAGTGCTTAAGCAGAAAGCACTTTAATTTCATTTCTTTAAAACTAAGCACAAATCAGAACAATTTAAATTTACCCAAATTTGAATTTCTAATTCAAGAGCAACATCCTAGAAGCCCACACTCAGATTGTATGCATATGAGAAAGCATGATGGGCTGAACCCTCTATTCTATCCCTCCTAGATAAAATCAGCAGATTTAAACAGTTTACAGTTTGAATTTGGCCAAGAGTAAGGAGACCGCCTGCAAAGCACAACCTCATTCTAATGATCACAGCCTGCACAGAGCATGGTTTTTACAACTTTATGTCTTCTAATGTGATTCCTCCTCCAATTCTGAAGTCACAAGAAGCTGTACTGTCTTAGATGATGAAAATAACTAAACCAAGCCCTACACTTGTAATCTTGCTTTTAAAG